TCTAAACATTATATATTGCTATTTCCTCGCACAATTGCGTGAATAATGTTGCATCAAAGTAGAGCTCTAGTTTTTTTTTTTTTTTTTTTTTTTTTCTTTTCAACAATTAGCTGTTAAAGTGTTATTGAAGACGTCGGAGGTGTTGATAAATGTACACAAGAAAGCATGCTAGAGAAATGTAAGAAGAAGTTCGTAAATAAAAATATCGTTTTGAATGAAGTTGAATGTATACGTTAATGTATATTGTTTCTTACTGCTGAAGGTTGAGAGAATCAATATACCACGAACGATGTCGTCTTTGTAGTATATTAAATGAAAAGGATGGTGGGATATCGGACATCTCCCAGTTATTTGGTCTAAAATATAACAAAAAAAAATTAATATATGTAGTGGGTGAGGTTCCTGTGTGAACAGTGCTTCTCGTGTGGACGGTGCGGATTGCACCATTAGGTTGGCATAAATGCACCATTAAGTGTCTAAAAATACACCATTATGTGTGGTGCATTTTTTTTTGGTGTGTGGTGCATTTTGTGGAATTTCATTCTGGTGTATTTTCGAACACTATGTGGTGTATTTATGCATACCTAATGGTGCAATCCGCAGGAAGCTATGTTCTCATTTGAACCAAAATTTATATCTAGTTAAGTGTATAATCTATAGTTCATGGATTATAAGTGTAATATTACCTTGTTCATAATGGCGAGATGTTATGTATTCTCCATAACGATTAGACTCTAGTTTTATCTCACTAGGTGGCTCTGTTGTAGCCATAGTAGAAAAAAATTTCAAAAGTGAAGAAAACAACATGTCTAAAAAGTATAATGTCTCCAGGATATAAAGCATTCTCTATCATGAATTCGGTGTTTCCCGTAGTGAAGTAAATTTTCTCAATGGTAACTTCCTACCGAGCGATCATGGTGCAAAATAGCGATATAAAAGACTCAAGACCGTAATTTGGTAAGCAGGTACTCTTTCAAAATAACGATTTTTTTTTTCATTTAAATTAGTATTTGCCTCGTGCGATGCACGGAATGAATTTGTTGTAATATATTAAGAGTATTTTGATCGATATATAATTATCTAAATTAGAACATCAAATATTATATAGTGCAATGGAATCGGTTTGGATCATTTATGTGTTTTTATGTTATCATAGCTTGAATTTGTGCAAATAATTGTTCAAATTAATAGCTAATGTGTAGATGTACGCATTCAGTGCTGTAACTTTGGAGATTTTATTTATCATTGTTCAATATTGTTATAAATTAGGCAAATGTGTTCGTTCTCTAGCAACTCAGTTATAAGAATGAATTGATATTCTAATTCATTTGTATGAAAATATATATTTTTTGTCTAGATATATAGTAATTTTGCCATTTAAAAAAACATAATATCACCGATTGTATTTACACATTATATTATTGAAACCTCTTTGTAAACAACATTGGTAGTAGCAACACAATTTTGTCCATCTTCATTTAGAGCTAACACCTTCAGTCCATCAGGATGGGTGACACGGTGAAAATATATAATGGTAGAATATCAGTCAATTAGTGATCTTTTTATATTTTCAGTCAATTAGTAATATCAGATTCATTTTCAGCCAATTATTCTTTTCTATTTTCAGTCAATTAGTCCATTAGAATATTAGATGCAGTGATATTTTTACCTAATTTTCGTTTCATTTTTAATTGATGATATAGAGTATTTTTATTGAAATATTTTCATTCTATTTTTAATTAACTTTACTATTGTTTAAAATATGCATTTAGTATTGATGATGTAGAATATTATTATTGAAATACTTCCGTCCAATTTTTAATTTTCGTTCCATTTTTAATTAAAATGCAATGATCACAATTTTTTTTTTTTATTTTAGTCAATTATGGATCATTTTTTATTTGCAGTCAATTATTAATATTCATTTTCTTTTATATTTTTTATCCATTAGTAATATCAGATTCATTTTCAGTAAATTATTCTTTTTTATTTTCATTCAATTAGTCAATTAGAATATCCGATGCAGTGATATTTTTACCTAATTTCCATTCTATTTTTAATTGATGATGTAGAATATTTTTATTGAAATATTTCTGTTCCATTTTAATTTCCGTTTCATTTTTAATTTATATTTACTATTGTTTAAAATATGCATTTACTATTGATGGTGTAAAATATTATTATTTGAAATATTTTCTTTCCGTTTTTAATTTACCTTTACTAGATGATGTAGAATATTATTATTATTTAAATATGTTTGTTCAATTATTAATTTTCATTTCATTTTTAATTTCCGTTCCATTGTTTAAAATTATGAAAGATTTATGATATAATTGCGGTTTGATTTATTATACTGTCTAATATTATTGTGAAAATTAAAATGCAATGATCTGATTATTTTATTTTTCATTTTAGTTAATTATGGATCATTTTTTATTTTCAATCAATTATTAATATTCATTTCCTTTTCCAATTAACCTAATTTCCGTTTCTTTTTTTTTTCATTTTTAATTTTCAGTCAATTATTAATATTTATTTCTTTTTTCAATTTACCTAATTTTTGTTCCATTTTTAATTGATGATGATGTAGAGTATTATTGTGAAATATTTATGTTCCTTTTTTAATTTACCTTTACTATTTACTATTGTTTGAGTGGAAAATCAAGTAAATAGGATTTTGTTTTTAATTATAGTATAGATTTGTAATATGCATATGGATGCTAGTGAAATGAAACTATTATTCTTTTCCCTAGAATTTTTGTCTTTACTCTCTACTAGTAAGTGTCCCGTGCGATGCACGGACTATTATTAATTTAACAAATGAGCAAATTATATTTTTGGTCCTATGACTATAGGAGGCATGTTAATTTCGTTTCATGACTTTTAAAACTAACAATTTAGTCCTTTAACTATGTTTTTTTTAGCAGATTTGGTCATTCCGGCCAAATCACCGGTAGAAATTGGTCGGAAAAACTTAAACCTTTTTAAATTTTTTTTCATGAGGGCAAAATAGTCTTTTTACATAAGCTGTTTCTTCTTCTTCGCGTTCATGAGCTACGGCTAACAGTTTCTTCTACTTCCAAGAAAGAACAGCTCCAAGAATCGAAGCCCCAGGTTCAGAAGCATGGTATGATTTTTATCCTCAGCTTTTTCTTCATGTTGCGCATTTCTTGATTCATCTTCCCCAGATCGCACGGTATAAAGCTCTATTAAGAGATCTAAACTCCCAGAAATATTCTTCTCCCTACTCTAGCCACAATCATCCTCCCAATTCCAGCCACGACCAAAACATAATTGTAGTATTGGTTGTGGTCCAGTGGATGATGGTTTAATTTATTTATAGTATTGAAGTAGGTGTAGATGTTCATGTAAATATTGATTCTGAATTTTAAATTTATCTCCAATCAATTAACCTGAGACGTGCTTAGACTAATCTTCTGGCCAGATGTTGCACAGAACCGCACCATACACTGCTTGATCACCGTTACCTGCTCCAAATTTTCTTCCGAGAACATGACCATGTCATCAGCGAAGCATAAATGTGATAAAACAGGCCCAGCTTGCGAGAGACGAACCCCTTTCCACCCGCCCTCGTCCACTTCTAATGAGATACTCTGGCTTAGGCATTCCATACATAGGATGAAAAGGGCGGGCGACATTGCATCACCTTGAAGAATGCCCCTACCTGGGCAGAATTGTGGCAAACGCACACCGTTCCACACAATAGACACAGCTGCCATTTGCACACACTCCATAATAATGCGCGTCCAATCCTTGTTAAAACCTGCATTAAAAAGAGTATCATTAATAAAATTCCAAGAAAGGCAGTCATTCGCCTTTTCTAAATCAATTTTAATTGCCATCAGCCCCATTTTCCCTTTTTTAACGCACATGGAATGCATCACTTCTTGATACACTATTACGTTGTCAGTAATCTGTTTCCCTGGGATAAACGAGCTTTGGAACAGGCCAACAATTTTGGGTAAAATGAGTTTGAGTCGGTTTGCTATAATTAAAGAATATAAGAAAAGATATGGTAGATGCATGTGCATGGTAAAAGTAATGGAAAAGATAACGGAAGTTATAACGGTAAGGGTATTTTTGTCCAAAAAATTGTATAGTACAGCTCTAAAAGCACAATGTACAAAATGGTTAGCATTAAAAACATGGACATAAATGAGGGATGTAACTTTGATTGAGACTTATTATGTTTTTAGATTTATGATGATTATGATTCGGGAATATTTTTTCCTAATCATTTTGCTTTAATATATACTAATAGTAATAATAATTATATATATATATATATATATATATATATATATATATATATATATAGATAGAGAGAGAGAGAGAGAGAGAGAGAGAGAGAGAGAGAGATAGAGATAGAGATAGAGATATAGAGAAGATAAGAGAAGAGATAGAGATATAATATATAATGTGTAATATATAATATATATGCAATATTTTATAAATTAATGATATAGACATGTTATGTTAATGTTCATTTGATTTGTAATTAAAATTACATGAATTTATAAAGTAATGTGAATACAATAAATGCTTTCACACTTTGGAGGGAAAAATTTTTCCCTAATCATTTGCTTTAATATGTATAGAGATAGAGATGTTTAATTACCATAGTAAGATTAAAGTGTTAAATATAGGTTTGTAATATTGACGTAATATATGTTAAATACAGGTTGACAAACTTATGCTAATATGATACCCGTGCGATGCACAAGACAAAAATTTATGAACATTTTAGTTATGTTGTTGTAATATATGTTTAAGATAATATTATTATTTATGTGCATTGTGTTATTAGACTAATAAAGTTAAGTTTACTATCTATCATTATAATAAAGCACTAAGTTTCTGCTTAACAAATTCTCCCGCTCAATTAAAACGACGTCACTTTATGTCCACAAAAAAAAAACTCTACACTAAATGGTGCTAAACAAAGCTTAACGCGTGCACTTTAATTTTGCCGGCTACTTTTTGATAATACCAAGTAAAATAAAGCAATTTAAATAGACTTCTAATAATTACACACTTCTAAAGAGAGTGTTCATATTAAACACTGCTTCGAAAACATACTTCTCAAATCTAAAATAAATAAATATAAATAGACTCATACTAAAGAGACTCAATGATGTAATGTCTGATCACCATGCTCTTGGAAACTGAAAGGTCTCCATGACCATTCATGCTTCCAAGATAACATCATAGATTTTGAAATCCAGTTTTACATTGTATATAAGCCTCTGTCGATGGAGACATCCACTCCCAACTTCACCCTATCTTCAGTTCGAATCACTTGTCAATTAGAAAAAAAAAAAAAAACCAAAATATCTGCAAAGAAACCATGCCAATGTATGTTGCTGTAAAAGATATTGGCCCCCTAGATAGGGAGAAAGCAATAAGAGTAAGGTGTGTTAGATGTTACGAAATAGCTGAAAACAGAGGCTCTACAGAGATTAAGAGTCGAGAAACCATCAGTACCAATTTCTGCAACAACAAAAAATTAGAATAGAATGTAAAAATTATAAGGAAATAACAAATTGTAAAAAAAATTAGAATAGACTGTGTTACCTTGTTCAAATCTCTCCAATTCCTCTAGATTTTCCTCAATTGATAAGGGGGTATTTGGTAGCCTAAGCCAATCCTGAGTACAGACCAAAGCTTCCACAATTTTAGGAGTTAATGAACTCCTAAAAGGATCCAAAATCCTCCCAGATGTACTGAAGGCAGATTCTGAGGCAACAGTAGATATTGGTATAGCTAAAACATCCCTAGCTATCTTAGAAAGGATAGGAAACCTTTCAGCATTCAACTTCCACCATCTAAGTATGTCAAAAGAAGTTTCCTCTTCAACTATTGCCTCAGCAAGGTAAATTTCTAACTCTGTTTTTTTCATTCCCCCACTCTCCAATCTTTGTTTCTTAATCTGTGACTTTAACAAATGTTGGGGCCTCCCAACTGTAGACTGTGAAAAATCAATAGGAGTACTGACAGAACCAGTAGTGGAAGAAGCAGGAGTAGAGGCAGCATAATCATTAAACAACTCTTTCAAGGCTGCAATCACTTTCTCATAGTAGGGTTTACCTTTTACCTCACCATACATGTGATTCATCTGTGTTGCCATGTACTCTAACTTGTCTTTGGGGTCTAGAATGTTTGCAAAGAATATCATCAAGTTCATTTTATCTATATCCCCCCAATATTTCTCAAATTTAGCCTTCATATTTTCTCCCATCAGTTTCACAGACCCTCCAGCTTCCACCATTCCATTCAAGATGCAGTATAAATCAGAAAATTCAAAAAAGAAAGTGTTAGAAGTGACATATAAAGAACCAGAAATTCTTATTGTCATTTCATAAAAACATTTCAAGATCTCCACCAAACTCTTCACAGACTCCCAATCAAGAAAATTAGGAACAGAATCAGACAAATTTGATTTGAAGGAACTATCACTTTCTTCAAGTGACTCAAACACTTTCTCATATGTAATTGCAGATTGAAACATAAGATATGTAGAGTTCCATCTGGTTGGAACATCTAGACATAAAGAAGATTTCTGTTCAATCCCATTCCACTCAGCCAAGTCCCTAAATTTCTTAAGTCTAGCAGGTGAACTCCTCACATATCTTACAGCCTCCCTTACCCTCTTCACAGAAGCATCACATTGTTTCAGGCCATCTTGGACAACAAGGTTCAGAATATGGGCAATACATCTCATGTGAATATACTTGCCCTTCACAGTAGATGTTCCGCAAGACATCAATTTCTTTTTTAAAAAACCTATAGCAATGTCATTAGATGAAGCATTGTCTACTGTTATTCTATACACATTCCTAATCCCCCAATCAAGCAAACAGGTTTCAAGGACTTTTGCAACAGACTCACCCTTACGTGATGTAATAGGGACAAATGAGATAATCTTCTTATGAAGCTTCTACTCTTCATCTATAAAATGGCCAGTCACTACCATGTAGTTAATTCTCTTAATAGAAGTCCAAGTGTCAGTTGTAATACTGACTCTTTGAGTGTTCCCCCTAAAAACACATTTCAACTTCAATCTTTCCTCTTCATAAATCAGATTGATGTCCCTACTAATTGTCCATCTAGATGGAATCTTAAACCTAGGACAAACCACCAGAATGAACTTCCTAAACCCTGGACCCTCCACAAATCTAAAAGACAGTTCATCTATTATAATCATTTCAACCAAGGCCCTCCTAATAGCTTCCTGGTTAAAGACCCAAGTTCCTAACTCACCAACAGTAGGAGGAGATGCATCAGAATTTGTAATAGCTTGAAAGGTTAACAGTGATTGTCTAGTGTCTTTAGAGTGGGGTTTTTCAGACAGCTAAACATGTGGTTTCTCAAGGAGGTAGTACCATGCTTTTTAGCTTGACATTGATAAATTTTGGCACAATATATACACTTGCCTTTGATAGTAACATCATTATTATCCTTAATTTTTTCATAATGATCCCACACTGGTGATTTGGACTCAACAATCTTCCTCTTCTTCTCAGGAACTGCAGTAGTAGGTTGCACATTCTGTTGATTATTTGTGTCAACAGTTTGGGCTTCCACCACTGTAGACCCATCAATTGAAGATTTAGAAGGTTGACTTCCAGACTCTATGATATTTTCCATCTAAGTAAATGGAATACTATCAGTATAGTGGTCACCACAAAGTGGGAAACATATTGAACAAAATCAGATAGTCACAGACAACTAAGAGAAGTAGAGAAATCCAGAATCAGAAGACAGACACTTCATAACTTCATCATTTTTCTAAATTTCATAATTGGGACTTTAAGGAATTAACTATTAAGGGTCATACATCCATAAACTTATAACTTATAAGTTATAAACATAGTAACATACAGGCATACAGGGATACAATCACAGTATCATATTAATCACACAAAGTGACAAAGAAATCCAGAAATCAAGAACCTGAAAGCCTGAAGTGTACATTCATCATTTTACTGGATTTCACAGTTGGTAGTTACAATTGGGGCTTCCACCATTTTCACCAACACAGGCAACATCCAACAACCAACAGGGGTTAGGGACTTAGGGGCTTCCACAAACAATACAGACAAATCATACAATCACAACTAAGTGATTCTAAAAAGTCACAGTCCATAGAATCATAGAAACCCTAATCAAAGTATCAAAAATTCACAAATAAGGGACAAGTGACACGCAACCTGGAACTTCTCAACAGATTGACATTGTCACAGTCCACATAATCATAGAAACCCTAATCAAAGGATCAAAAATTCACAAATAAGGGACAAGTGACATGCAATCCAGAACTTCTCAACAGATTCACATTGTCACAGTCATCAGAATCATAGAATCACAACTAACAACAACGTATCACAATATATAACAGTATAATCTAAGTATGTCTAAGATTAGGGTTTAGAGATTACTTCGTTTCTCCAAATCAAACCCCCGAGAACAAAGGGCTTCAAATCCGTGAGACCGTGACAGCAATCTACAATCCACCACACCGACCACCAGTCGTCCAGAATAGGGCTTCCACCGAACAATATTAGCTAGCTTCCACCGGAGACTCACACTCTCAGTCTCTAACTGAGCAAGTCTACAACTCTAGAAGAAACTCAGAGAGAAAGAGAGAACTTAGAGTCTCACAGAGTCAGAGAACTGGAGAGTGGAGAAGAAAGAAGTAAGAACTAACTAGGGTTTCAGATTTCAGAGAAGAAAGACGAGACTCACGAGAGAACGAGACTAGAGAGTTCTCAGAAGTCAGAAGAAAGACGAGGAAGCTGCACAAATGACTAGGGTTTCCTTCTAACGGAACATATATACACCGCTTACACGACGTTGTATACCTTAGGGTATACGAAGTCTTACCCTAATTCGGGTTGTCGGACGGGTTCGGGGGGATTTTAAAACCCCCAACCCGCCTCGTTCTAACCGGCTTTGTGGATTGTTCTCGGTTCGGGTATCCTTGTTCGGGTTTGGATTCCCTCAAAGGGCGTATATTCGGGTTCGGGTTGGTCGGGTTTTTCGGGTGGGTCGGTTTTTGCACAGCCCTAACTACAGTAGCTGATCTATTGAAAAAGAAGCAGGTTGAACTCTATAGCTCTAAAAACCATGAATACAGTCCACAAAACTGATTATAGATTAAATAAGATAGATTATATACGACAAAGTAACCAAGTAATTTCAAAAAAATTGTAGAATGGGGAATTCTATGTACCTGTTGAAATGTGGCCATTGAAGGTTCTTTTGGATGGATGTACATCTCTTGCATGTCACCAGGATGTAACAGAAAGCTTTATGAACAAGCAGGTGATCTGATTTGTACAAACTGTGATAAGAAATATAAAGAAGGAATGGTCAGGTATCGGGTCAAAGTGTTCTGAATTAGTTGGTATCCCAGCACACAGTTTGTACACAAAGTATAATAAGGTAAAGTTACATTACTTTTAAATTTAACACATACATATAAAGTCTTTTTGTATTTGTCTTTTTTAAAAGTATGCTATTTTCTGTATGTTAGGTTTCTGACATTCCAAAAGAATTGGAATCATTTGTTGGTATGAGAATGATATTTAAGATATCATTAAAAATGGAGTTTATGAAGGGAGCTAATTCAGCCTACACTGTTATGAGAGTTCTAAGGGATGAAACCTTAGTCTCAGCATATTGTTCTAAACTGATTGAAGACCAAGACAAGGATTTGATATAAAAAATGATAGATGAGGACGAGGAGGAAGAGGAGGAATCAGATCATGTTGTTATTGTTACTAAAGTCAAATCAATTTTTACATTTTTAATCCTATGTTTGACATGTTTTAGACTAAACTTTATTTTAATATACAGGAAGCTTCAAATAGAGAAAATGAGGTCAACAGACAACAGTCCATTAAATATACAACAGTCTCAAAGGCTAGACAATGAACCTGAAGAGTCTAATGGTGTGAAGCCATTGCTTATGGACCAATTCTCCTCCTCTAGCAAGAAGGGAAAAACTGTGGCTGTGAAACAAGAAAAACTTTAAGGCTGTGTTTGGAAACCCGGTAAATGATTTCTGGAAATCATTTTCCGGGTTTTTGATGTTTGGGAGAGCATGGAAAATGGAAGTCAACTGAAAATGACTTCTGGTCAAGGGGGAAAATGGTTATGTTTTCTGAAAAACAACTTCCCCCTTTTTGGGGCAAAAGTCATTTTCCGGAGCCACACACAAGACACAACCCTCGGTCTTCATTGTCTCCTCTCCCAAATCTTCTTCATTTTCTTTCTACAATCAACAACAAAAATGGTCGAATCAGATGGGAGATTGCACAACCCATTCTTCCGCCATGGCAGCTGCTATCATCGTTTTTCATCAGAAAATTACAAAGGAGCGGGTGAGGTTGTGTGATTACCGTCTGTGGCGATTTCCGTCGTAAATGTGTTCTGGGCAACAATTGATTTTGGTCCTCAGCGGTGTCGGCAACGAGTTATTCCAGTGGCGGCGAATAATCCTTGTTCAGCGTGCGGCAGAACTTCTTCCGTTCTCTGCTTTGGTGCAGCGAATTTCCTAGGAGGAGGAGAAATTCATTCGGCGGTGGCTGTGGTGTTTCCTGACTCTTCTAAGCAGCAACACTCACAAAGCTTTCTTTGACTTTTATTTTATTACTGTATTTAGTTTAAGCATTCTTAATTAATAAATCATTAGTTTCTTGATTAGGAGTTGGTTATGACTTTTTGATGTGTTGATAAATGTTTAATTTTATAATTCTACTCATTTTCCAAAAAATAAACCAAACACACCAATACAGTTTTCCAGAATGCAACCAAACACCGGAAATGAAAATGTTTTCTGGAAAATGACCCATTTTCCAGAAGTCATTTTCCTGCTTTCCAAACGGACCCAAAGATCTGGGAGACTACAGACTATTACCACATTAGTGTGGTTTTTTATCTTTTTAAACTGATCACTAGCCCTGCTCAATTTGACTGTGTTTGTGTTGAACAATTTCATTTTGTTTGAATCTATGATTAGACTCTTTTCCTTTGTTATTTACCTATTATTTTTTATAAACATTCATAAATATCTGTTTATTAGTTTCTATTGTTAGATATATGAAAATGTATGCAGGACAAGAAGGAAGCAAACACAATCACACTCAGTTAAGGAAGCAAACACAATCAAGCAGTGTGCCACACAATGGTTTTCAATTCTTAAATTATAGCCATCTGCTAAATGTCTATCCAAGTACTAAATCTGTATTTTAAATTAGACTCTATCTAATGTAATAAAACTCATTATTTACACTGTATACAGACTGCTATTTTACTTTAAAACTCACACAGTTTAAATATCATCATTAGCAAAGTACCAAAAAAGAGTAACCTCTGACAATAGTAAAACATTAAACTTCACATATAACATTTAATCAATCAAACACACCAATGTTGTAATTAAAAAAAAAAAACTAAAATTTAAAGTAATAAAATATACATTCACTTTCTGGATTTAAGTTGTGTGTTTTAAGTACAAAATTAAAACAAAAATAATACTTTTATCAGAGTATATGTATAGTCCTACATTCTAGACCTTTAAATCAACATTACTTAAATTTAAAAATTAACTTGGTCAAGTTAAAATGTAATTAAATTTTATGAAATACTGAAACATTAATATTGCACAGATAACATTTAATCAAGCAAACACAGCCAATGATTTAATTAAAAAAAAGTTACATATAAAATAAAGTGAACATTCACTTTCTGTGTTTAAGTGATGTGTTTTAAGGACAAAATTCTAACCAAAATAATAGATTGATCAGAATATAAGTAGATAGTCATATATTCTACGTCTTTAAATTAACATAACTTAAAAATTAAAATTGATTATATCAATTGAAAATATATTTACAATTTATGTGTTGAATTTGATACCTAACTAAATTAAACCATAATTTGCCACAAAGACAAATAAAAACTATAAACATTCTTACAGATTGTACAGATTCTTAACAATGTGTATATAGTGTTAGATTCTAGACCTTTTAAAAAACATTACTTACATAGTCCAAGAAAAAAAAAACATAAATTGACTTGGTAAATTCAGACCTAACTCTAATAATAGATTACAATTTCTGAAGTCAAATTCAGACCTAACTCTAATAAAGCATAAACATAGAAATCAAAACAAATAGAAGTAAAATTATTTTACATAAGGTATATACTGATAAATTATAGACCTTTAAATAAACATTAATTACAGAGTCAAAAATCGGAAATCAAAATAAATTGATTTGGTAAATGTAATTGAAATTTTTGGGACTATTGTTGATGACATTACAAAACGAAAAAATAAACACTTGAATAATATCATTGTATTTTTGGGATCAGAAACATCATTTCATCCCTTGCCATTACATAATATATAATCTAATCTAAAATTAAACTTAGAAAGCTAAGAACCGTCCCACCATATGTGCCTCTTGAAAACATGTAACAAAATCTCAGATAAAATGATGTTTAATTAGAAAGCTAGTGGTGGGAATAGTATTTAATTAGAAAACATGTAACAAAATCTCAGATAAACCGATGCACAAATACATCGGGATTACATCTCAAAAACGTAACTGACACATTTCAGAAAAACAAAACTAAAAAAAAAGAAGGCCATTAATCGAAAGTCTAAAGCTGAAGCAAAACATAAATGGGGAACACACAGCCAATTTATCCACAGCTTATTACTTAATGTGGCACAATGTATTAAATAACTCAAAATCTGCCTACACAATTAGAACATAATCATGTATTCAACTGCTATTTCACTGATTAAATAGTGGCATCAGAAATAACGATTCATTATTTGCCAAAGGCTAAAAAACACTGTTAGTAACCAATGTAAAAAGAAGAATATAAAAAAGATAAGGGGGAACATGTCTATTCAATTACAGGAAAAGTAATTGGCATTGTTGTTTTTCCAAAAAAAACTGAAGAGTCATAATCATTGTAGGCCATGTCAAAACATTAATGACAAACACACAATAAAGCATTTAATTGGTAGAAACTATGCATAATACAACTACAATCACAAATCACAATTGGAACATACAAAAAACATATCAAATGAGAAAAATAAATTCTTCTACAATAATAGGGAGCAAAAGGAAGCAGATAATGGACAACAAAGGTATTGTCTACACTATAAAAACTTTTATTTAAAGCTTACCTCACTGCACGTACTTCACTGCATACATTATGTTCTGCTTACCTAATCGGATGCTTGCTAAATGTCACATTTCCTGATATAGATAGACTCCAGATACCCGATCTTTGGTATGTAAACATATTTCGAACTCCAACCTGTTTAGTAATTAAAAAAAAAAAAAAAAACAGATTTTAGGGTCATATAAAGAATTGTGGAAGTAGTGATAACT